CTTTAAAATATTGGCTGATAGTCCTGGGAATTATCACTATTTTACTAAAGGTTGGTAAAGCTTCATCTAAAATCTAGGCCATTTTTGCTCTAGAAAAGTTTATTCCAACCAGAAAAGAGAAAGATTATACTGATATATAACCTGGTGAACCCAAAGGAAGGACTACAGCAGAGCTGGCTGTACTGGTTCTCCTGCTGTTCAAAGCAGAGATGGGGTCAGTGTGTGCCCTTACTCCCTTTTGCACCTTTTGGACCCTTGCACTCTTTGGACCCTGCACCCACTTCTCTCTTGCACAAGCCAAGTATGGAAGAGGATGAAGTGTACCCCATGCACAGTCAGACTGACACTGGGAGTGCTCCCAGTTCCACCACACTTACAATCAGCTTTGAAAATTGCTCTCATACAACTGAGACAGAATAAGCTTGGTGCTAAAGCAGCAGCAGGAGCTAGTGATCCCAAACAGGTAACAAGAAAGAATATGCTGAAGCTGAAACTTAACTACTGTAAGAAATGTTCCAAAGGAGAATGAAATATTTAAAAGACACTAAGTGCTAGTAAACTGGAAAGAGGTCAAAGAGAGGTGAAAAAGTTATGCCTGTAGAGAAGGGGCAGTGGTGTAACTATGAGGGATAAAAACTGCTGGACTTCAGTGTCATCCTCTCCACACACACATATTCTATCTGTTATAAAGTAATAAAGATGCCATGGGATAGCTTTCTTGAGTGACACTGATGGTCTCAGGAAGGTCATCTGGTGCCAGAGGTAGCAGATCCCAGGTAAAATGTGCTTTGAAGGTGTGCATTTGTGACAATCTCAAGCAATTTGATAAGGAAGTTACAAAAGCTGTTATCATGAGAAACAGGGAGAAGCCTTTTTTTCCCCTAAAACTTGGTATTCTTGCATGAACAGAATACCAAAATACTGTGAAGTGTTTCTGTAATATTTCTTTTCAGTCTGAAGAGTTTGTAACATGACAGACAATGTCAAAATGCTGGGTAGAACCAAGGCAAACAAGGCCTTCTCAGGGAAAGAGATGCATTTCTTTACCTCTAGGTAAGAGATACTATGACAGTAGCCTGCTAACAATAAAACATGGACGTTTTAAATACTAAATAAACATTACATTTGCAATGTCATTGTGATTTTAGAGACATTGTGAAAGAAACTTGCCCAACCCACTCTTAAAAGTCCAAGAAGCTGGGACTGATATATCTCCTGTCATTAAAAGATGCCCAGTATAGTCCATGGATTGGCACACTTTAATTGCTAACCTAGAAAGATGGGCACCCCTGCAAATGCCATGTTCCTATCACTGTGAAATCCTTTTAACATTGATTTAGTCAGAAGGCTTTGTTCCCAGTTCCTGCAGCAACTGGCTATTCCTCAAGATTCTTCTATTACAGAATACCTAAACCTAACTTCATTCAACTTATGCACTTTGTTTGAAAAATGTTTAGTCTTTTTAGTGCTGGTGAGCCTCAAGGCCAGAATGAGTTTCTGTAGATGTACCAGGACATGAAATTAAATACTTTATGTATACATCCATTCCCCCTTTTGTCACTGTGTCTTGGATTATAATAAGAAACTCATGTCCCAAGTCTTCAAGTCAAGAAACAACTTTGTCATACAAATCTACTTATAAAAAATATCCCAAACCCCAAGTCATTAGTTCCCATTGCATTCATTGCTTTGATAGCTAGAACTCTTTTCATTTTTCCACTAAATTTATTGTGATTCCTTTGGTTTAAACAGTGGTGGTGTTTTTTCTCAGTGACATTTATCTCAATTTACTTACAAAACAATTATATCCTCTCTCAGTTACTGTTTTCCTTGGTTCAACTGCCAAGCTCTTGAACCAAGTATATCAGACACTTCATGAAGCAAGACTCTTACAGATGCACCAACAGTAAAGTGCAAGTTCCAGACAATTTAAACGTTGTTTTTTGGTACTGCCCTTCTCAGAAGATGTTCCTAGGTTCTTAGGAAGGACTGTAGGCAGCTCCTGTAGCTCTGTAGGTCAGTGGCAGAGGGCTGTGCTGCCAGCATTGGAGAATTCAAACTCTGCTGCCAACAAGCACAGTGAGCCTTCACACCACCAGCAAATGGAACTCTGAAAGCACACACAGAATTGTTGCTCACTGGGTTTTTTTTCTTCATAGACACTAATGTGTGAGTGACAGCCTCAGTTTACTGTTACAGCACACAGTATATTCTTCCATACATCACAAGAAATGACAGACAAGAATTTGAATTATTGATGACTAACCTAGCAGTACCTGACTATTTACTGAAGTAAATTACAACCTGTTTCCCAGCCAACTGTGGCATATCACTAACACCTTGCCATCTTGCCTGGCCCCACTGAGGTTTCTAAATACAATATTCTCTTCTCTGACTACAACTCTACCCACTGTCAGGCTACATTAGGCATAACAAGATCCAGACAGATTCAAGATTAAGCAACTTTTTCATAAAATCCAATTGAGGACTTTCTTACCTTGAGGGTGCAGCAGATATTACATTAGCCAGATTGTGCACACTTTCCATGCAAGAATTAAAGGCATACATGTAAAAAAAAAAAAATGTGTGTGTGTGTGTGTGTGTGTGTCTATATATGCAGAGTGATTTAATTCTCTTAGGAAATAAGAGGTGGTTTTCTAGATTCCTCCCACCACAGACATCATGATCAAGCTCAGCTAATTGAGACCTTGTGGGGAAAAGGGTGTTCCTCACCAAGGCCCTATTTTTCCAGAAGCAACACAGGAGTGCCGCTGTCTAGCGAAGGAAGTCTGTGCAGATCATTAAGGCAGTAATAGTCACGTGGAGAGAGGGGATCCAGGTTTAAAAAGCTCCTTACTGGCTAGACTACATCTTCAGCTCCCAGAGAGACTGCAGTCCCTGAATGGTGGAACCAAGAAGGAGCAGTCCCCCTTCAGTCATTTTTCCCCTCCCCATAGGTACCAGGGAATGGGACAGAGACACCCACAGTGCTATCTGGTGAGTTTGTCAACAAGATGCCTTCAGGGCTGTGCAGCTGAGAGCAGAGGCTGCCTTTATGTCTGAAACAGAGTGTGTCCTTTATTTGCTGTGGGAGAATGGGGGTACAGATTCACTTAAACTCAGGCGAGCCAGGCATATTTGGGGGCAGTGCATGGCACATGGTCTGTGTTTGGTGTATTTGGTGCATGTGGTGGAGTGACTGATGGGTGCTGCGAGGAGGAGGCAGCAGTGCAGCTGAACATGAGCATGATCCCGTGGACTGCACTGCACAGGAAAACAGCAACTGCTCATAGAGCACCATGGGATAGTCATACAGACAGCATGTATGGCATGGAGTGTCAAAAAGCAGAGAAAAAGTCTTGTGTGGTGTCTTGGAAAGAGACAAGGATAGGAAATCACAGTGTGACCAAAAGAGAACATATGAGCTGCATCGTCTAAGCACCTAAGTGCTCTGGAACAGTAGAGCCACTGCTCAAATACTTCACCCAAATGAAGGCTTTAGGATTCAAGTCAGAGCTTGGATGCTGGAGCTTGAACCAAGCATTTTTTGTGAAGGCATAAAAATCTGTATATTGTCATTAGCTGTCTTGCTAACACCTTTTTAGTCTGTGGCCTAAAGAGAGATGCGGTGGAAGCCAATATGTGAACTTTAACTCGGAGGTGATATTCTTTTTCACATTCCAAGTTTTTAGACAGATCCAGTTTTCTTTATGAACTCTGACTATCATCTCTTTATGTATTACAATATATGTAAAAGTGTTTCATCAGCCCTAGCAGAGTAAATAAGTATGGTAGGCTGTAACACCTTCAAGAATCCTCTATGACTTGACCTGGTCCTATTGATGACAAGCAGAAGGGAAGCTACTTACTACTGGGGAGGGAAAGCTGGTTTCTATCTTTTGAGAACAAATTTTATTCCCTTAAATACCACAGAGCGTAGAGTTACTATTCACAGCTGTAACAAGAAAAGCCCCTGAAAACCCCTTTCTGCAGCTGCATTTAGCCATCTTCTGGCACCAATCACTGTTCTGCCAGATAATTCTTTCCCCATTTTACATGGAAAAGACTCGGGTTCTATCTGGATAGCAGCAAATAGCTAACGTCCCACAAATGCCTCAACCTGATAACTGAATTCTACCAGCCTCCTACTTGCCGTGAAAGAAGCTGGGCATCCATCAGCCCTGGCATAGGAGCATTAGCATTGTCCAGCTCTGCCGTGCAGCCTGCATCCCACCGGGTACTGATGTCAAAACCTAAAAATTCTGCTGTTTAACTAAGGCCACACTAGAGGACAGGGGAGATCAGCGGAGAAAGAAGGGAAGTGGGCAATCCAAGCAGACTCTACCTGTTGCCTGCTAACGGCAATTTCAGCTGCCCGGGCTAGGGATGCGTGCTTTGCCTGGCGGGAAGAAGCAGCTCCGAGCGTGCCGTAGTCTGCGGCAGGACGGAGCCGACCCCAGTAACTCGGCGGGGAACCAGGGACGGTGCGGGCTCCGGGCCATGCGGGGCTCCGGGCCGTGCGGAGCTCCGGGCAGTGCGGGACTCCGGGATGTGTGGAGCTCCGGGCAGTGCGGGACTCCGGGCGGTGCGGGGCTCCGGGCAGTGCGGAGCTCCGGGCAGTGCGGGGCTCCGGGCAGTGCGGGGAACCAGGGACGGTGCGGGCTCCGGGCCATGCGGGGCTCCGGGCCATGCGGGGCTCCGGGCAGTGCGGGGCTCCGGGCCGTGCGGGGCTCCGGGCAGTGCGGAACTCCGGGATGTGCGGGGCTCCGGGCGGTGCGGGGCTCCGGGCAGTGCGGGACTCCGGGATGTGCGGAGCTCCAGGCCGTGCGGGGCTCCGGGCGGTGCGGAGCTCGGGGCCGTGCGGGGCTCCGGGCGGTGCGGGGCGCGGGTCGGAGCTGGCGGGGCCGGGCGGCCCTAGGTGCGGCCGCTCCCCGCGGAAGAGGGCGCGGGCTGAGCGCTCCCCGGGGGCGCCGCGGTCCCCCCTCTCCCGCCTCATTTGCATGGCTCTTATTACGGCCGTGCCTCGCTCCCGCCGCGCTGACACCGCCGGGCTGAGCGCGGAGTCGCCTCCGCCAACGGAAGCGCACTTCCGTTATCTGCGCGCCCGTACCCCCTCCTCAGCTCGCTCTCTCTGGATGTTTAAGGCGAGGATGAACAAACAGGTCCAGCCCGAGCGCAAAGTGTCGGTGGTGGCCCCCTTGCCGGACCGCGCGGGGCCGCCGCCGCCGCCGAAGAAGGACGTGGAGCTGATCCTGGTGAAGGAGCACAACGGGGTGCAGTACACCAGCAGCAGCCTCCTGCCCGCCGCCCCCGCGCCGCGGGGCACCCAGGACAGGGAGACCTGGGGCAAGAAGATCGACTTCCTCCTCTCCGTCATCGGCTTCGCCGTGGACCTGGCCAACGTCTGGCGATTTCCATACCTCTGCTACAAAAATGGAGGGGGTAAGAGAACCGCTTGCGAGGTCTTTTTACCCGGCCCCACAGCCCCGAGGCGCACCGCCGCGAGGGCGGCATCCCGCTCGTGTCGGAGTTTCTGGGGGACAGCGGGAGCCGGGCTCACCCCGCGGTGCCGGGCGCGGTGCCGGGTGGCCAAGGCAGGAGCGGCGGCACCGCGGCGCTGCGCAGCGCTCCCCGCTCCTCCCGGGCAGCGGGACCCGCCGCGGCCCCAGGGCACCGCTCAACCCCTTCCCGGGAGCCAGCGCTCACACACTCCTCGAAGTTTAACTTAGTTTTTCAGTACAGGCGTATTTGCCTTCTGCTGCCGCTCCGGGCTGCTTAACACTTTTTTTCGTTCGCAAAAAATAGCACCAAGAGGAGGGGGGGAAAAAAGGCCAAACCAAAGACACTCAAGCAGAAAACGAGCATCTAGAAGAGTTAGTGCCAGACCACTGAAAGGTTTCATGGAGGTAGTTTTAATGTAGGATTGTGACTTCTGCCCTCGGTTCTGCAGTGTGGGGGTTCTCCCCTCCTCCAAAGTAGGTAGGAGACTTGTTACAAACAAAGCCTAGCTTCCTGCACAGTTTGGCAATGACAGAAACAAAAAATTACACAAAGTAACTATAGTTGGCTCAGATTGTCTGGCATGTCTTCAGTAAGACCTTAACTCCATCATCCTCTTTCATCTCCCTGAAGTACGCTGTGCTGTCAGTGATGACTCCAGCCTGTGATGGAGTAACACCATCTGCAAGCCGGGCAGGTGCCTGGGGTGCTCTCAAATCACACACAGAAGGAACAGACCCTGCCTGGCAGATGGAGAACTGTGTGTGAACGCTGAACCACACAGATAGAACTGACAGAGAGAAAGCACGTTCTGAAAGATATTTATGTATGTATATAGTGATAGTGTGGTTGCCTGGTGATAAAGGCTAATAGGTCACACTTGTAGCATAAAATAATTGCTTCCAGTGAAAATAGGAATGCAGGATGAATGGGAAAATCCCTATTAAATAATATGGAATTATACCTGTCCTTGGAACTTAATAGGATATTGGTGCTAATGAAAAACTTGATCGAGTTGGTAGCTCCAAAACTTCTGAGAGGAGTCAGAAAATCTCTCTGCTCACCACCCAGACAGACTGAAGAAAGTAGTTAGTACTGAAAAATAGCTTCCATCCTTATTTCATTATGTCCAAAAATAGTCCTGGACATTGACACTACAGCAGCACAATGCATCAGGAACCCAGCTGGCTCCTGCTGGGTCAGGTGCAGGTGGGGCAGCATCATTCAGGATGCTGCTCAGGACAGATGCGCCACTGCCACATGTCCATGTTATCTGGCAATTTTCAAGGAAAGAGATATATTCTCCTATCTCACATTGCACAAGGTGACACCCAGAGTGCCTGAACTCTTTTCCACAGTAATTTGGGTCACTTAATTTCCTAACCTGCTTCCTTCATAATTCACTGCCAGCTCAGGCACAGAAGGTAAGAGTCTGCAACTCTTGCATTTTGTTTAGCAACCATGTATTATCTTATGCCAGTTCAGCTAGAAAAAACTGGGTCTTCATTAGCATCTTCTGATTCAAATACTTCCAAATGGCAGTGAAGAGAAAGCCAACAGCTACAAGAGGCACATTTCAGTGAAAAGTTTGCAGTAATTTTCCATATCATCAAAGGTAGAGAGGCCCTTTGCTACCAAAGTCTATAGATTGGCTGAGAACTCTTTACTGATACAGAGACCAAACACTCTGGTACCTTAAAATTTTTCCATCGATTGCCTCTTATGTTGGACTTACATATCAGTTTTAGTCAGTAGAAACTCTTGCAAGTTTCAGGCTCTAGAAGTACTTTACTGAGTTTCAAGCCAGCTCAGTCCCTTCTTTCTTTCAAACAGTGTTTGGGAGCTTGTTTGCTTTACGTGTAAATTTTCCTACAAGACCAAAAAACATAAGGCAACAGGCATATGTGCATATGCTGTGGCATATTGTTGGATTTTGTTGAAATCTTTCCAGTCATAAATCACAGATATTCTTAAATGTCTCCCCCCCTGCCCCTCACTGCTATTGCATGAGAGAACCTTTCCAGCACTAATTTAACTTTTGCTGCCTCAAAAGGATAACACAATGGGTTTCATATAATTGCTATGTATCCCCATGCAAAAATTGGTATGTGGATATAGACATGGAGAAAACTTAATTTCACTATCTTAGTAGTTTTTCTGGACTGCTGAGCAAATTAAAGGGATGAAATCAGAAGTTGTTTTTATACTTGTCTAGCATGTTCAGACTTAACCTATAAAAAAATTTATAGGATACGCATACTAGTGTTATAGTTTGCCTCTTGATATTTATAAGGAGCTGCTAGGTAAAGAAGAAACCAACATAACACATCAACTTGAATTGGATGGTATGCATAAAGTAAAGCAGTGGAAGGTAAAATGTTTCCTTTCCTCTTCCTCCTGCAGTTTCTCTTTATTCTGAAAGACTCAGCAATTACTCAGCCTCAGTGACTTAACCAGAGCTCTAGAGCTGACTTTGGGCAGTCAAATATGTGGGTTATGAACACGTTATCAGCCAATTGATACAAAATAGTTGGTGAAACAGAAGCACATGCAGCTTACAATGTCCTAAATCCTGGCTCAGCATAGCATAACGCAACTCCACACCTGACAAAAAGAATCAGCATAGTCACCTAACAAAAAGAAATTCTCCTATCCTACCAAAAGCTACACCACAAATATTCTACAAATGTTCTTAGAATTTGAACAACAATGTCAAGGACATGGAAGTGGTAGAAAATGGCATCTTTCTTTGCATTTAAAAAAATGTTAGGTGGTTGACATATGGACTATGTCCTAAAGATAACTATGATTAATTCAAGATGCCTGCAGACACACTAAGGACCTTTTCATGTTTGTAAAAGTAGGTGGCTCTCAAGAAAACATGAAACTTACAAGAACTGAGAAGGAAAATATAAACACACACTCTATTGCCCAATTCAAAGTTGAATTTTACCAGGACATGTATGTCCTTCTTTTGGGCTTTTGGGTTAGATCTGGAAGTTCCACTTATAGACAGCTCTGATAGTTTACTTTGGTGAATTTTACTTTCACAAGGCATACACCACCCAGTGGCAGCTATACAGACTTTTTTCGTTAGGTAGCTTCGGAGGAAATACTGGTGGTGGTAACAAAAAGAATCATTTATATTTTAACAAGCTCCCAGTAACAAAAAGCTAGAGAGTAAGAAGCATCCAGCAGAACTAAAGCACTGAATGAATAGCCAGAAACATCTGTGTTTTGGGAGTAGCCTGCTGAGAGACCCCAATGGGACTTCTGCACAAAGATAGATGGCAGAATGTAACCCTTCTGTAAACAACTGTAATTTTTTGAATAATTCTTCTGCTATTAAAAAATCCCCAGTCTTTAGTAAAGTCTAAAAATCTAGAGAATTTATCTTTCTATATCAGTTACTTACTTACAAAGGCAGACAGATCCAGTGGCTGTATTGTAATGAAATGTGCCACAGAAAGATTACAGGATTGTTTAGTATGAACAGACTGAAGGAGTTCTTGCCCTCACTGACTTCTTGGAATCGGGATATGTCCACTGTGTGCTCTAAAGTATTTATCAGGTGATAGGGTAGACTCTGAACAGACGGGGAAAATCTACAAGATCCCACTAAGTAGATATGGCAACTCTCCAAAAGGGAGAATTCTCAAACATCACCTTGTCAGTCCAGCTGATCAAAAAAGACCACAACTTACAGTATTTGTCTGCTGCTTGCAGCACAGAGGAAAAGTTCTGTTTGGAGCAGATGGAATATGTTTTCTGCAGTGCATTTGTGAGAGTTGCAAAGGAGCAGGGCTTGTCACTGGAGAAATCATCAACTATGGTCGTTTCTACTGGCTAATCTTACAAGAGCTATATCCTTGTTATAACCTTTCTGGCAAAAGCACTTTTTTAAAAAATTATTTTTAAGAAAAAAAGATCCCCTGCTGTAAAACTCTCTCTGTGTTAGTGGTCAGCATCCAAAGAACTCTTTATAACACAGCCAACATTTTAATTGCTCCCCAGCTCTACAAGAGGCTATGGTGAAACAAAGAAGAAGACTACTATTAAAATTATACTCTCATCAAATTAAGGAAAGATTTACCCTGATATTTTGATTACATCTGAAATTTTACTGATGCCAAATGAAGTTGAGTAATGCCTACTATGATTAACTGATGTGCTCACGGTGGGGGAGGATGATGCTCAGTCTTAGTTAACAAGCTATTGTAGTTTTTGTACAAGACACTTTCAGTATTAATGTTCATTTTTGTTTCCTGTTCCCGCATAGTCATAGGCAGAATTAATATTTCCCACTGAAACTTGGAGAAAGGGAATTTACCAACATAAAGTACTTCTTTTGTGAGCCAAAGTATTTGCAAGGTCAGTCATGTTCAGACTCATTAGGAAGCATGTAATTGTGGGATTAGTCACTGGAGATTTACTGTATCATAAGAGTCAGATTAAGTTTTTAATGAATTTAAGAATAACGGCAAATAAATATTTTAACATTACTCTAGCTACCATAACGCACACTTTAAATCTCCCCTGCAGCATTATTTGAAAGTGTTTCTAGACCACAGTATTTCTAGAAATTGTTTGCTTTAACAGTTTGCCAGCAATCAATACACTTCAGAATTATCTTACAATTTATCCTGATGCTCCCTGTCCTAGTTATAGTTCCATAAGCTGTAATGCAGGACTGAGCAATCCACAGCACAGGTACCAAAGACTGCATAAACCACATCCAAATATCCCTGAACAGGCCCAGCACAAAGTCAGGAGCTCAGAGCTGTCACACATCAAGAAGGACAGAGTGGAGCTGTCACCTCCCACAGGGCTGGGAGCGTGGCCACCACACCACTCCACCGAGAGCAATCTGTGGCGCTGACAGCACCACCTTGTCCTTCTACTACACTCTGCCTCCTCAGTTTTGCAAAGTGCCTGCCACCAAA